ACAACAACAACAAAAAACCCCAAAAACCTCCCGGGTGTTGACAACAGGGCTCCTTTTTGTGGAACTGTGACTGTTCCTGCAGTTAGAAAATGCTGTAGACCAACGTCACCTCCTTTAGAAATGACAAAACCCTCTTTCATCTCCATGCTTTTTCCTTTTATTTCGAAACACAGATTCGGCAACGGGAGAATGTGTTTTTGGGGGTGCTGAGGTTCTATTTTAGGCCCTCTGCTATTGCATACCCGTATAGAAGGCTATTTTAATTCTTTTCAGTCATGTGGAAGATAGTCACTTAAGCGGTGCTCTTTCTAGCACTTTCCCTTTGAGAGGCGACCTCGCCTGATTAGTGCATGCATTTGCACTAATTTGTAAGAGAAGTGCTGGAATAAAAACTTGTTCTGGGCTCCCCGAGAGCCTGGAGACTTTGGGGTCTTTGGAGATCAAAGGTCAAGTGACTTTGGCTCTTCTTTTATTCAGACTGGCTTGTACTTCTGTAGGGTTTTCTTGTTTTATTTTTTTTTTAATTTTTTTTTAATGTTTTATTTATTTCTAGGAGAGAGAGAGAGAGACAGCGTGAGCAGGGGAGGGTCAGAGAGAGAGGGAGTCACAGACTGAAACAGGCTCCAGGCTCTGAGCTGGCAGTCAGCACAGAGCCCACGCAGGGCTCGAACCCACGAACCGCGAGATCATGACCTAAGTGAAAGTCGGACGCTTAACCGACTAAGCCGCCCAGGCGCCCCGGGTTTTCTTGTTTTAGAAAAAAAAATGTTAACGTTTATTCATTTTTGAGAAACAGAACATGAGTGGGGGAGGGGCAGAGAGAGAGAGAGAGAGAGAGAGAGAGAGAGAAGGAGACACAGAATTTGAAGCAGGCTCCAGGCTCTGAGCTGTCACCACAAAGCTCCACACAGGGCTTGAACCCACAACCATGAGATCATGACCTGAGCCAAAGTCAGATGCTTAAGCTGCTGAGCCACCTGGGCACCCCTGGGTTTTCTTTAAACATGATTTTAGGGAGGCGGTTATTTCAGACTATCACCGTAGTCTACATCTTAACCCTAAAGGCTGATGTTTTGAAGGTGCTAGCTAGGCTAGGTCAGGGCACATGTTGCATATTTTACTGCTTGTTTCCTGACCAATACAATTTTTTAGAAGCTAGCTGCAAGACGCATGAGCTACTTCCCTTCCAGCAGAGCTCCTGATTGAATTGTGCGACTTTCCCCACACTGGCTGTGTCCCTTCTCCAGGCAGTCAGGTAGCAGGATTATCTGGTCCTCTGATTCCCTGCCCACAGGACAGGCTAGGCTGGATTTCCTTACCCACAGAGCTGCCTTGGGTGGTAGAAGCAGAGGAAGGAGCTGTGGGCTTGGCTGGTTCTGGACCCAGAATCCCCAGGGGGAACCAGTTGCTAGCACTTTGGAACCAAGTGAGACAGAGTTATCTTCTTATCAGTACCTCTCCCAGAGCCACCAAGGAGATCGGCATTTCCGGCGTATGCACATGTATGGTTCCAGAATGGAAATCCTTATCTTTTGTCTATTAGAATGCTGGACTTCGGTCAATGAGGACTGAAGTTCTGTCAAACTGACTTAACCTTTGGATGGTCACACAAGCAGGAACTCTCTCAGTCTGTGTTATCTTAGTAGGCAGCCTGTGTAGCTTGTGGAGAGAGAGAGATGTACAGGCTAATGGCCTTCATATTCAAATTTATTTCTTCCCTTATCATGCGAAACAGTTAAGGTTTGGTCGCATGCGCGCTCTCTCTCTCTCTCTGGGCCTTTTTTTAAAAATAAATTGAACTATATCTGTCTTATTTATCTATTTATTTATTTATTTATTTATTTATTTATTTATTTATGAGAGAGATAGAGAGTGAGAGTGAGTGAGGAGCAGAGAGAGAGAAAGAGAACCCCAGAAGGCTCAGATAGAGAGGGAGAGAGAGTATGGAGCCCAGAGTGGGGCTCAAGCTCACCCAGAGCAGGGCTCGAGCTTACGAACTGTGAGTTCATGACCTGAGCCAAAGTCGGATGCTTAACCAACTGAGCCACCACCCATCCACCCCTCTCATGGGCCTTTTTGATTAGCACAGAGTCCAGAACTGGCCAGAAGAACTTTTCGTGGTAATCAAAGTGTTCTCTATGCTCACTGTCAAGGATGGTGGCCACTAGCTACATGTAGCTCTTATGCATGTGAAGTGTGACTCTTGCAGCAGAGGAACTGGATGTTACATTTTATTTCATTTTGATCAGTTTAAACAGCCACATGTGGCTAGCAGCAACTGTATTGGACAATACAGGATAAACCATTCTATTTGAGGACTTTATATTATATTTTGTATTTTGTAATTAAATAGAGAAAACCTTACACGTGCACATGGTAGTAATTCAAGAGATTATAACGGGGAGCTGCCTGGGTGGCTCAGTCAGTTCAGCATCTGACTCTTGATTTCCACTCAGGTCGTGCTCCCGGGCCATGGTATCAAGCCTCATGTCGAGCTCCACCGCTGGGCATGGAGCCTGCTTGAGATTCTCTCTCCCCCTCTTCCTCTCTCCCTCTCTTCTTCTGCTCCTTCTCTGTCTCTAAAACAAAAGGTGGAAACAAGATGCAGCCATGATAACCAGTTTCCTGTATATCCTTCTCTCTCCCTCTCCTCTCTTTCTGTCTTTCTTACTCCTTTACTCCAAGAGATGTTATTCTATCCACTCCCTACTGTTTGTTGTTGTTGTTTTGTTGTTGTTGAGTTAACAACCTTGGGGGTGCCCTGGTGACTCAGTGGGTTGTGTCTAACTCTTGGTTTTAGCGCAGGTCACAGTTCGTGAGATCAAGCCCTGCATTGGGCTCTTTGCTGACTGTAGAGCCTGCTTGGGATTCTCTCTCTCCTTCTCTCTCTGCCCCTCCCCTGCTTGTGCTCTCTCTCCCTCTGTCTCTCTCAAAATAAATAAGTTTTTTAAAATCTTTAAAAAAAACAATGAACCTTGGAGGTCATTACTCATAAAAATAAATAGAACTGCCTCATTATTTTAATGGTTTATGTTTAATTTTATTTGTATTAATGGCTATACATAATACTTCTTTATAAAACTGTATCATTGCTTACTTAACAGGTGCCTTATAAGTGGACATGAGTTAATTCCAATCTTTTGCCATGATAAATTCTACAGTGACACGTAAACTTGCACAAACATGACTTTATACATTAGGTATAAACATAAACTCTTGGAAGTGAGATTCTTAGGTTGAAAGTATGTGCATTTTATAATGTCATAGATTTTTACCAAATTGCTGTGCATAGTTTGGTGATGGGAATATAAGTTGGTGCATTGTATAAAGCATCTATTTCCCCACAGCCTCTGCAACACAGACTGTTACTAAACTTTTTGTTCTTTACTGGTATGATAAATAAAGATTGCTATTGTCAAGGAGCCTGGGTGGCTCAGTCGGTTTGAATCAGGTCATAATCTCACAACTTGTGATTTCAAGCCTGGCATCAGGCTCTGTGCTGACAGTATGGAACCTGTTTGGGATTCTCTCTCCCTCTCTCTCTGCCCGCCCTTGTGCGCTGTCTCTCAAAATAAATAAGTAAACTTAAAAAAAAAGGACACCACTTTAAAAAATAAAGATTGCTGTTACCTTGTCGATTTAACCTGCATTTCTCTTATTATAAATGAGCTTGAGGATCTTTATATATGTTCAAAAGTCATTTGTATTTACTTTCTGATAAATTATCTACTCAGATCATTTGCCCATGTTCCTATTAGATTTTGTTGTTGTTTTGATTTTTAGGAATCTTTTGTACATTCAGGAAATTAGTCTGTTGTGTCTGATTATGTATTGACAGTTCTTGATCTTGGTCATGATATCTCTTTCCATGTGGACATTTAAAACGTGTTTATGCAGTGAACGTGTTAGTCTTTTCATTACGGCCTCTGGATTTTCTATCTTACTTAGAAAGACTTTCCCTGCAGAGATATTTTCAAACAGAGTTCTTAGGTTGTCTTACAGAATTTCCATGGTTTTATTTTACCTTTTGAGGTTTCACTCTTTGACTCCTCTGAAATAATTCAGGGGTTTTGTGAATTTACCTTCCCTTGCCGGGCTTCTCATTCTTGTGCCATCATGCCTTGGCAGTTTCTCTCCCTGTCCAGCCCTGTTTTGAGCTATGGGGTCCCTTCTCGCAGCCACTCTGGTAGAAACATTATCCTCATTTGTCCCCTGGCTGCGCCTTCTCATTCTTTTCTTTATTCTTATGTTATGTTATGTTATGTTATGTTATGTTATGTTATGTTATGTTATGTTATTTTTTAAGTAAGCTCTATACCCAACTTGGGGCTTGAACTCAGAACCCTGCCTGAGATTAAGAGTTGCATGCTCTACCAACTGAGCCAGCTAGGCACCCCTCTTTTTTTTTTAATTAAAAAAATTTTTAAGCAAATTCTACACCCAGTCTTGGGCTCGAACTTAGAGCCCCGAGATCAAGAGTTACATGCTCTACCAATTGAACCAGCGAGAAGGTGCTGGTTCATTCCTTCCTAAGTACAACTTTTAGGCAGAGCCTAATGCCAAATGGAGAAGGCAAGTTTAAGTCTTTATTTGGAGGTCTTAGTTACGTTTGTAGGTCCCAGAGCCCCGTTTCGCTGGACTGTGCCTGTCCACCCCCAGCTCATTGCCTTTCTCCCCACTGGAGTCCAGGAGTCATCGGCTCACTCCCTGCCCTGTCCTGTCCCTGCACATTTCCTCTTTGACCTCCTTCATGCCTTCCTAGGCCTGGCTCATTATGTGGCATGATCTGCCCTTTGTGCTGGCTGCTGAATTGGGGTAGGTGACCTGAACACCAACATGAGGTGAACTGTACAGCGTAAGGTACCTGTACTCTGCCTGTGCTCAGGAGAGAATGCCACCACCGCCTCTGGTGAAGCCAGCAATTTTGTGGCTGTTAGCACTTCATTCACGTTCTCAGTATTTTATTTAATGCTTTGTCATTTTCTTTCTTGTGATTCCAGAATCTCATTTTCAGCTTCTACCAGAGCCAGGAGCAGTTGGGAAAGAAGGCTGTGTTCTTTGAAGAGTGAGTATGGATTTTTAACACTGTTGATTAAAAAAAAAAAAAAGGCAGCTCTTAATAAGCCTGAGGCTCCTCTGTAAGCTCCCTCAAAACCTGTAGTGGGTGGTTTCTCTGCTTCATAGTTCTGGGGGGAGGGATGGGCACCTGCAGGTTAGATACACACCCAGAGCCCCCTATGGACCCTTCTCAAAGACTGTGCCCAGGAGCAGGGCGCTAAGCATGAAGGTCTAGAAGATATGAGCCTTTGGGAACCAAAATGCATTCCTGGGGAGCGTGACCCGCGAATCCACCCCAAAGGCAGAGAGGCAGAGAGAAGTTCATCTGGCAGCCAGGACTTGGGAGTGCTCCGTGTGAAGGGGGCAGCCTGGGGAAAGACGAAGCACGAGGCTGTGCAGGGCTGGCATGGGGACGAAGTTGGTTATTCGGGGTGCAGACAGGGATTTGGGAGTTGGCCCAAGAAGTTGGGTTGGGATCATATGAAGTAGTCTGAGTTCACATTAGACCTGGGCAGCCTAATGTGTGTTGTGAGTTGTGAACATTCCCCTGGCAACTTGTGTTAGGGATGTGACAGAATGGGAGCAAGAAGAAAGGATGACCTGGACCCAATATGATGGCTGAGGGAGCTGTGATCTGTCTCACACCTGGTGTCTCACCCCTGGTGGGAATTTTTCTTCCCACCCAACATTCCTAGTAAATATGGAACCAATTGGCCTAAGGAATTGTTCACAAGAGGCTTTCAGGAGTATGGACCCTCTAAATCTGTGCTGTCCAATATGGAAGCTCCTCTTCCTATGTGGCTACTGTGCACTTAAAATGTTACAGGTGTGGGGCGCCTGGGTGGCTCAGTCAGTTAAGCATCTGGCTTCAGCTCAGGTCATGATCTCACCGTTCGTGTGTTCAAGCCCCGCGTCGGGCTCTGTGCTGACAGCTAGTTTAGAGCCTGGAGCCTGTTTCAGATTCTGTGTCTCCCTCTCTCTCTCTGACCCTCCCCTGCTCGCTCTCTCTCTCTCTCTCTCTCTCAGAAATAAATACATTTTTTAAAAAATGTGACAGTTGTGAGTGAAGAACTGAGCTCTGAATTTCTTTAAGCCTTAGTTTCTCCATCTTTAAAGTGGGAGAGAGGCTCCTGGGTGGCTCAGTCAGTTTGGCTCAGGTAATAACCCCGGGGTCATAGGATCAAGCGCTGTGTCGGGCTCCCTGCTGAGTGTGGAGCCTGCTTCAGAGTCTCTTTCCCCCTCTGACCCACCTGTTAAGCAGTTACTTAGTAGGTGGAGGTTGTCACTCTTGTATCTTTGGCTGCAGGTGGTCTTGGTTATTATTGTTGCTATCATTGTTACAATAATCGTTATTTTGAAGCGACCAGAACTTTAGTCTGTCAGATTTGATGGTGTATGGGTTAGATATCTAGGGAAAGCAAGATTCTTTGAAAGTGTCTCACATTCTGTTTTTTCATGGAATTCTGCTTTATACCCTAAGATTAAGGTATTGGAACTCAGGATTCCCAGTTTTCCAAGTCAGTGAGAACATGAAAAGACAGCCATGGCACATCATGCCTTACTCCTAGCCCGCAGACTAGGGACCTTGAGATGCACCAGATCCACTGGTGCCTCCTCTATCCAGTCAGTCTTCATCCCTGTATTCAGAGACAAAGGCCCCGCACGCACAGCTTGGATGCTAACAGGAGGAGGCCGGGTGGGGGGCCTGGTCTGGGATGTGAGTGGTGCCCCCTTTTGTCAGAACAGACAGCTCTCTTCCTAATGCAGCTGCTCTTCGCCCTGTGCCGCAGGGCCACGGGAATCATTGTCCTTAACACCGGGGTGCCTTGCTTTTGCACAACAGATACATAAAATAAGTGCATTTTTTTCCTCTTTTTCAGGAATTCAGGCAATAAGCATTGTCAAGCCACAGATATTTGCCTGGTACTGTTTTAGGCTCCAAGAACATGTAACAAAGAATAAGATTCCTGAGGGGGCAAGCCAGAGCCTCCTCCTCTTTAACTGCCTGGCATAATTTGAGAAATGTTTTAAGTCTTCAGAGTAGGAAAAGACAGAAGAGGTGATTCGGATGAGTATTCATATTTAATAGTTGAGGAAATGAAGCTTTCGCAGCTGGGTTATGGAAGAGCCCGGTAGGAGAGAGGCAGCCAGAATGTTCCACCCTCAGCCCGATTGGTGCCTGAGCCATTTCATGTATCACCATTATGATTTTCACCAGAACCTATATATCGCCTAGTTTGCATTTTTCTTTAAATTGACTCCTTTTAAATTAATTTTATTAAAAAAATTTTTTTATGTCTTTATTTTATTTTGAGAGACCGAGACAGAGAGTGAGTGGGGGAGGGGCAGAGAGAGAAGGAGACACAGAATGGGAAGCAGGCTCCAGGCTCTGAGCTGTCAGCACAGAGCCTGACCCGGGGCTCGAACCCACAGGCTGTGAAATCATGACTTGAGCCGAAGTCGATCACCTAACCGACTGAGCCAGCCAGGCACCCCTTAACTTAATTTTAAAAATTAATATGCATCCCTGCCATAAATTGAAAATATCTCTCTCCTTGCTAGATGGGATGCTTGCCCATTCATGAATGGCTTAATATTAGATCTTTAAAAAAAAGAAGAAAGAAAAGAAAAAGGCAGGAAGGAAGAAGAGGGAGGGGAAAAAAATCAACACAAAGAAACCATGTTATTAAGTAGCTAGTTACTGTTGCTTGCAGGAGGGGAAGGCTGAGAGGTGTACTGAGAGTTTCTCTTTGACCGAGACAAAACTGAAAAAGAACTGAAAGCTGACTTCTCCCTATGCATGCCAGTGTTATGTGACCTAGTCAATGCTGTGGAGCCCTGAGCATTATTCAGTATTCCCCTGCTCCCTAAAGTCATCTTGCAAGCATCAGTTGCATGGGCCCTATCCTGTGGGAAATTCTACTTTCTACCCCTCTGTTGATTTTCAGTCATTGGCGGTTCCAGGTTCACAAGGTTTCAGTTTTCCTGTCTTTCCTCTCTCCAGCCTCTCCGTTGGGTACATAGAATATCCTATAAACAAACCTCAGCAGGGTAGGAGAGCTTCCTTTTTAAAGAAAAACTGGGCAAGTCCTCTTTAAAATGAAAGATGATCCAGAGATAGGCATCATCACTTAACTCCTTATGTATGTTATGTATATAGAAAACTCAGGAAGCATCAGTTTCGGGGCGCCTGGGTGGTTCAGTGAGTTAAGCGTCCAACTCTTGATTTCAGCTTAGGTCATGATCTCATGGTTTGTTTCGCTCTAACAAAACAGAGACTGCTTGGGATTCTTTTCTCTCCCTCTCTTTCTGCCATCCCCCGCTTATGCATGTTCTCTCTCAAAAATAAGCTTTAAAAAAGAAAGAAGGGGGGCCACCTGGGTGGCTCAGTCGGTTGAGTGTCCGACTTCAGCTCAGGTCATGATCTCACGGTTTGTGGGTTCGAGCCCCACGTCGGGCTCTGTGCTGACAGCTCAGAGCCTGGAGCCTGCTTCCCATTCTGTGTCTCCCTCTCTCTCTGATCCTCCCCTGTTCACGCTGTCTCTCTCTCTCTCTCTCTCAGGTATAAATAAAACATTCTTGAAAAAAAAAAGAGGAAGGGAAGGAAGGAAGAAAGGAAGGAAGCAAGCAAGCAAGCAAGCAAGCAAGCATTAGTTTCTTCACACAGGGCCTGTCCATATTTGACCTGTTCAGGGAAAGTGTACAGTAGGCTTCTCTATAGTAAGTCCAAGCCTTACTAAATTGATCAGGCTAGGGGCGCATGGGGGGCTCAGTGGATTAAGCGTCCGACTTCTACTCAGGTTATGATCTCACAGTTTGTGGGTTCAAGTCCCACCTCGCGCTCTGTACTGATTCTGGAGATTCCTTCAGATTTTGTGTCTCTTTCTCTCTCTGCTCCTCCCCTTCTCATGCTCTGTCTCACAAAAATAAATAAAATGTTTAAAAAATTTTTGTTTAATTGATCAAGCTTTACAAAAACTCCTAATTGAAGTTCATTCTGCAATTAAATGGGACATGGAGCCAGATAAAACTTTCCCCCTAAGTGACTGGGAGGTCCTTGGCAGGTGTTGGTAAAGCCATGATGCCTCTTTTTGATTATTAGATCTTGGGGCTACATCCCCAGTGTCAGGGTCAGTGATATAATGGCTTTGGGCATACAACGTTCTAGTTCCTAGTCCAAAGAAGTGTCACATAATTAACCTCCTACAGCTCAGGAATCGGAATTCACAGTAACCTTCAGCAGTTTTTAAGGACTTTGTGTGATTTGGAAAACTCCTCTTGAAGTTGCAGTTCCTATTTTCATTGACTCTTTTGTGACCCACAATGTTCAAACAGATTTCTAAAATTCTCTTCACTCTGAAAGTAATTTGCTTGCCCCTTGACAGTGAGGCCTTTTAGCATGGTAAATTGTACCTGGAGTTAAATAGGTGACTCCTCCAGGGAGTTCTGTAATTACTGAAAGAAAAAAGTCAGGTCTCTTACATCATCATTGGGAATGGTTAGTTGTCCCCAAAACAAACAGGATCGAGCCTATTTTGTAACTTAGCTCTTCATTAATTCATTTGCACCGTATTTGTGTCCTGTACTATTCTTGGGGTGCTGAGAAAGAACATACATGGCCGACCCTCAAGGTGCTCTGGTTCTAGAAGGAGAAACAGGCCAGTGACTTAAGTGTGCTGGAAAGCGTTTATGGTGGTTGAGAAGCCGAGAGGTCCGTTGAATCAGAAACGCAGACGGTGCTTCTGCCCCTGACAGGGCTTCCGTTCTTGGAGTTTCATCACGTACCCACACGGTACCCACACGGAGTGTGTGTGTGGCCATGAACCATCTAACTAACCCACCTATGCATTCGTCTCTCTCCTCCACTTCCCCCCTAGACTGCAAGGGGCTTGTTTCACCAACCCCTTTGGAGAGGACAGAACATAAATGGAGGTGTCCCGTCTTCATGGAGAAATTAGGAGTGACGACAAGTATAGGTATTTAACAGCAAAGAGCTTATGAGGATTGGAAAAAAGGCCATAAAAAAAATTAGACCAAGTATAGCATGGTGCAAAGGAGAAACAGGTCCAAGGAGAAACCTGTTTTGTAATCTTGACTCTACCAACTGAGTGACTTTGGGCAAATTACTTAACCTCTCTGCGCCTTACTTTTCTCAGCCTATAAAATGAAACAAAACACCCACCTTGCCTGTTTGACAGGACTGATGTGCTATAATAAGGCTTGATCACTTTCTGCCCCAGGCCAAATAGCCTGCAGCTTATTTCTAACAATGTCTTATTGGAACCATCACCACCGTTTATTACACACTGTGTATGGCTGCCTTCCCAGTACAGTGACATATCAAGTAGTTGTGAAAGAGACCCTATAGGGCTTGCAGTGCCTGAATATTTATCATCTGGCCCCTGTGTTGGTCATACCATACCATCATGAATTCATTATACAATTGAAATACATATCAATTGACAGAAGTATATAGGAGAGAGCTTTTGTTTTCACAGGAAATAGAAGGAAGCACAGGATTTGCTAGATATTAATGCTTTTTCTTGGAGAAGTCTCTTATTCTGTTTGGTGAAATGCACACTTAACACAGGCAGCTGGAAATCCTCAGGTTGTTAAGTGCCACACTGGGCTTATAGGTCCTTGGGGGAATTCTTTTCTTAATTTTTCCAAATGTTTGCTTATATATATATATTTTTTTAATTTTTTTAAATGTTTTATTTATTTCTAGGAGAGAGAGAGAGAGAGAGAGAGAAACAGCGTGAGCAGGGGAGGGTCAGAGAGAGAGGGAGTCGCAGACTGAAACAGGCTCCGGGCTCTGAGCTGGCAGTCAGCACAGAGCCCGACGCGGGGCTCGAACCCACGAACCGTGAGATCATGNGAGATCATGACCTAAGCGGCTGTCACCACAGAGCCCGACGCGGGGCTCGAACCCACGAACCGTGAGATCATGACCTAAGCGAAAGTCGGACGCTTAACCGACTAAGCCACCCAGGCGCCCCATTTTTTTTTTTTTTTTTTGAGAGAGAGAGAGAGACAGAGCACATGGTGGGGAGGGGCAGAGAGAGAGGGAGACACAGAATCCGAAGCAGGATCCAGGCTCTAAGCTGTCAGCTCAGAGCCCGACGTGGGGCTTGAACTCAGGAGCTGTCAGATCATGACCTGCAAGATCATGACCTGAGCCGAAGTCAGACGCTTGACCAGCTGAGCCCCCCAGACAACCCACAGGAGTTATTTTCTTGCCTAGGGAGGATGATGGGACTTGAAATACTTCTCATTTCATGAAAAAAAATGAACCATGTTGTGAACTCGTAAGACAGGGTGGAGCAGGGGCTACTTCTAGAGCACCTAGAAATGTGTCAGGCCCTGGTCTCGGTGCTGGCGACACGCAGCACTCCCTGCCACTCCTGGGGCTCCCCTTCTAGCCTTCACATGCATTCATCAGGTCTTCAAGAAGACCTTAGAAAAGTACACTGAAAATTCTACTGTTTTGATTTGTTCCCTCTTAACTTTTTATTGTATAGGACTTATTTTTTATATCATATAGGACTTATTTATATGTATAGGCTATACATATATGTGATAGATAACGAAAAGATTTTAAAAAGTACTACATGGTAAAAAACAAGTTTTCCTTCCACCCCGGACACCCCAGCTACTAGTTCCTCACTTTAGATGAACTGTTACTGATTTGTTAACACATCCTTTCCGTGATAGTGGCATTCACGCGCACACATAGATCGTTTCCGTTTCTGTCTTTTAGGTTCTCTGTTCTAACTTTTAATTTTTATTTATTTATTTTTAAAGTTTATTTATTTATTTTGTGGGGGGAGGTGCAGAGAGAGGGAGAGAGAATCCCAAGTAGGCTGTGCACTGTCTGCACAGAGCCCCATGTGAGGCTTAACTGACTAAGCCACCCAGGTGCCCCCTAACTTTTAATTTTTAAAAATTGCAAACTTCTAGAAAAGCTGAAGGAATACTATCATGTAACCTTCACCTGGGTTCACCAGAGGTTAACATTTACCATATTTGCTTTAATGTTGTCTCTTTTCTCCTCCCCCAGTGATTTTTTTTTCTCAATTCTTAAAAGTGAGTAGCAGAGGGGCGCCTGAGTGGCTTAGTCGGTTAAGCGTCTGACTTTCACTTAGGTCATGATCTCACGGTTCGTGGGTTCGAGCCCCGCGTCGGGCTCTGTGCTGACTGCCAGCTCAGAGCCTGGAGCCTGCTTCAGAGTCTGTATCTCCCTCTCTCTCTGACCCTCCCCTGCTCACGCTGTCTCTCTCTCTCCTAGAAATAAATAAAAATTAAAAAAAAAAAAAGTGAGTAGCAGATATCACTATTCTTCACCCCTTAATACTTCAGTGGACATCTCCTAAGAGCATAGATTTTCTACATACAAATGTACCCACGATTTCATCGTCACACTTAAGAATTGTGTCACTGATATGGTAGTACTTTCTCATATATCTGGTCCTTACTCAGATTTCCCCCATTTGTTTTATTTTTTTTTTATTAAAAAGATTTTTTTAATGTTTTTTATTTATTTCTGAGAGAGAGAGAGAGACATCATGAACAGGGGAGGGTCAGAGAGTGAGGGAGACACAGAATCTGAACACAGGCTCCAGGCTCTGAGCTAGATGTCAGCACAGAGCCTGACGCGGGTCTCGAACCCACAAACCCTGAGCCAAAGTTGGACGCTTAACTGACTGAGCCACCCAGGCGCCCCACCCCCCATTTGTTTTAATAACATCTTTTATAGCTTAAAAACAAAATCCAGGATCCTCTCAAGGATCCTTTGTTGTTTAGTTGTTATGCATTTGGTCAGCTTTTGCTTCCTACCGACCTTAACCCACATTCTAGGTCCTTCTCTTTTCCACTTTGCCTTTTCCCCTCTTCTCCTGAGACAGAGTTTCAATGCTGTCACTCTCTTTAGCCCTGCAGGTGTCTGCCAGCCTTAAAGAGCAGGATGGATCTTGATGTGGTCAACATGTTTGTGATCGCAGGTGGGACACTGGCCCTCCCTATCCTGGCATTTGTAGCCTCATTTCTCCTTTGGCCGTCAGCACTGATAAGGATCTATTATTGGTAAGTTAATATGATAATTGAAGTATTCAAGAGTATCATAATGATAGTGTCATCTTCTCTGGTGGTGGCTTTTGTCCTCTTGGTGGTGGTGGTTCAACATTTTATCATGAAATATTTCAAACATACGGAAAAGTTGAAAGATGTCCTGTTTTGAGTTTGGAGGGGATTCTTGAAGAATTGGTGGTAACTCCTTACCAGGTAAATTGTTTCTGGTTTCTGATAGCATCTTTGCCTGGGAGGTTGCCCTCACTCCCAAAGTCTCTGCTTCTGTCTTCAGGCAAGAATTGTGCATGTTTATGGGAGCTCCTTTGGTATTTTCTTGGTCACTGGATTCTTAAAAAAATTTTTTTAATGTTTAGTTAAAGAGAGAGAGACAACAGAGTATGATCCAGGGAGGGGCGGAGAGAGAGGGAGACACAGAATCTGAAGCAGGCTCCAGGCTGTCAGCACAGAGCCTGACACGGGGCTCGAACCACGAACTGCGAGATCATGACCTGAGCCAAAGTTGGACACTTAACCGACTGAACCACACAGGTGCCCCTCTTGGGCATTGGATTCTGACCCAGTAATGTCCTGACAGGTACAGAGATGTGCACTGAAAAATGAATTAGAAAGACCAGGGCCAAGGAAATGGCCTGGGTAGGTCAGAATGGTTTTAGATTTGTTCTAAACGCATTCATAATAAAGTGACAGAAAGGAAAAGAAATTTCCAAAATTTTTATCATTCTTGTTCCGTCTTTATGATTCTTGCCCTATCTGTATAACATCTCTACTTTCCTTTTATGTTTTCTTTAGAGTTAAGTCCCTCTTTTTACCTTAGATCAATTTAAGAGTAATATAAATATCACTACTGTAAAGCAGAAATTTGTTTCCTTACTTGCCATAAATAGTAAGTTAATATTAAAAAGTAAAAATAAGCACAATGTCATTAAACAGTGTCTTAAATTCTAGCCTGCCAAAAATACGGCATCTCTTTTCTCTTTGTTACAAAGTCTAGAGAGGTGTGAAAGATACTGCAGCCCCGAACACAGCCTTCCTCATTGATGGAATCAGAAGATTAACAGCGAAAGGAGAGTAGCTTTCTCATGATGATTTTTCATGCCATAGTCCATTTACCAAATAAAATATAACCCCCCCCCCCCCAACCAGGCTGTGCCCTGTGGTATATGTCCCTTGGCGAAGACAGTACTGAAATAGACCTGGTTCCTCTCTGTGCCGCCGGAAAAAAAGTGAAGCACACAGAGATTTAACCAGGACTCTGGCCGTCAGAATTGCCTTCCAGGCACGGCGAAAAGAATGTAGGCAGGTTGAGCTTGTGCCCTTCATCTGTTCTCCTTTCGGGCACCCTTTCGTTTCATTGGAGTGTGGAATTTTCCGCCTGCCAGCCAGGCTCTGATCCTTGAAAAGAAGCTAATTGAACAGAAAGGAGCTTTTCATCCTGTGCTCTCCCTCTCTCTCTTGGAGGGGGTGGTGGTGGTGACCCTTGCAGAGGGTCACCCAGGATGTACCTCTGCATTGACGAAGCTGAGATTCTGGCTGCTTAAGTGCCATTGCCCTGCAGCACTGACATCAGGGTTCCTTTGGGGCCAAGGCTCCTGTGTGACCCCTGACGTGGCGAGGCCAGGGCCGTGTACCCTTTGTGGCCCTGCAGAGGCACCATGGACCCCCACACACAAATGCCATCTTCCTTAAATCAAAGCAGAGAATGCAGTTCAGTTCAGTGATGTGGCCCATAACCACAGATATGGCTGCCTACAGAGGCGGGACTATATAAAGGCTAATTCCCCCACTACACGCGGAAATCCCGCTCCGTGCCGCATCGTCCCTCACCCTCCAAATTCCTTGAGCCTTCAAGGAGAAGGCTTTCAGGGTCAAGACTGTCAGAGTAATTTTGACGTTTGATCTCATAGCAATCAATTCCCCTTTTTATTGAATTAAAATTCACATAACATAATAATCATCATTTTAAAGTGTATATAATTCAGTAGTTTTAATATATTTGCGGCATTGGGGTGCCTGGCTGGCTCAGTCAGAATAGCGTGTGACAGTTGATCTTAGGGTCGTGAGTTTGAGCCCCACGTTGGGCACTGAGATTACTAAAAAAATAAAAAATAAAAACTTTAAAAAATACATATATATACTCACAGGGTTGTGCATCCATTACCACTATCTAATTCCATAGCATTTCCATCTGCCTGGAAGGAGCCCTCATACCTGTTCACGGTCACTCACAGTTTCCCCGTCCCTCCATCCCCTGGCACCTGTAACTATCTTCTGTCACTTTGGATTTGGCCATTTCACATCAATGAAATCATACAGTTTGTGCCCTTAATGTCTGATTTCTTTCCCTTAGCATGTTTTCAAGTTTCATCCATGTTGTAGCACGTATCAGTACCTCATTCCTTATTATGACTGAATAATTGTCCATTGTATGGTTACACCACATACTGTTTATTTAAATGGATATTTCTATAGTTTCCTCTTTTTGAATGTTGTGAATAATGCCACATAGCAAATAATTCAGTTTTATTAACAAATAATACCGCTGAAGCACTGAGAGGCCCCACAGAGCAGAGCACTCAGTCCCTTACTAAATGACCGTACAAATGCGTGTGATCTTAAAGCCCGCCCATGCCTGTCACTCAGCTCAGAGCTGTAGCCAGAGGACAGACACGGTGCTGCCCTTTATTTTATGCACTCAGGCACACAGGCCAGGAAGAAACCCAGATGGTTGGAGAGAATGAAAATCCTAGAAACGTTTGGTTCATGCCAGGTCATGTTGGAACATGGGGGTTGTGATTATGGCACCGGGACCCACAACGCCATTGCGGAGGGCTGTCGGAGATCCTGTGAGTGGCTCCTCCCGCCCCATCAAAATGCACAGCCTGTTTCCTTCAACTCCCCTCATTGCAAGTGACATTTACACAGTGGGTATCATAGGATGAACAGCTTTACCATGAGTCACTTATGTGCCTTAACCCCAGCTATTCCCCTAAACGCCTTTATTTGCTCAGCTGCCCATAATGACCGCCGGTGGATTCAACCCTGCAGAGCTAGGTCTGCCAGGTTAATTTTCAGGAGTGCTACGTGAACAGGAACAGCAGGCAGTAGAGGTGGCTGGGCGTCCCAGACACCCCAAGCTGCCCTGCCAGATGCTCATGAGGGTGTGGTGTACCTGTCATGGCAGGCTGCCTCCCAGACTTCTCCCGCGGATCTTCTGAGCCCCTTAGGGAACACGAACAGGCATCCCCCGTAGACCATGTCTGGCCTTCACAGCAGCTCTCTCTACGACTCAGTGTCCTTGGAGCATGGCCCACCTGTCTCCACAGCGATGTGGACCGCAGTCACCCTATAGGAGGCATCGGATGCTTTGCCATGCATCAGCAGAGAACCACAGTTGGGGGGCTGGGGCCACTGTGGGTGACATCAGAGATAGCTCTGATTTTCATCGTGCAAAGTATTAGGACTGTTCACAGGATGAAAGAGAGAGATTTTTAAAGACTTTTATTTCCTAAAGAAACTCAGTTGTGAAATGAAGATAAGCAATTGTAAATAGGAGAAAAAATGGACAAAAATTGAAAAAGAAAACTAACATTGTTTGCAGATGACATGATTGTGTTCACAGAAAGTACAAAAGAATCTATAGATAAGCTGTTGGAATTAATAAATGAGTTTGGCAAGATTGCTAAGTAAACAAAAGATTGATAAGTAAACAAAAATCAGTTATATTCTTATAAGACAGCAACAAAAAATAGAAAATGAAAAAATTGTAATGATACTATTCACCATTGTATCAACAAATATAGAATACTGAATCTATTCTTAAGAATCAATCTAAAGAACAATGCGGAAGGCCTCTGGATAGAAAACTACAAAGTACTAGAGAAATTCTGAAAGACCTAAAGTAATGGAGATATAGACAGTATTTGTGAGTTGAAAGACTTTCTATTATAGGGATGTCAGATTTCCATAAAATGATGTATAGATTCAGTGTACACCCATTTAAAATCCCAGCAGGTTTTTTAAAAAATGTAATTTAATAAACTTCTTAGATGTATAAAGAAAAGCAAAGAGTCAGTTGAGCAAGAGTCTTTTTTTTTCTTTTTTAAAGTTTTGTTAAATGGAGAGCCTGGGTGGCTCAGCTGGTTTAATGTCCAACTTTGTTTGGTTCAGGTCATGATCTCATAGTTCATGAGTTTGAGCCCCACATTGAGCTGCCTGCTGTCAGTACAGAGCCCACTTCGGATCTTCTGTCCCCCTCTCTCTCTGCTCCCCCCTCTCTCAAAAATAAGTTTAAGTTTATTTATTTATTTTGAGAGAGACAGAGAATGGGGAGGGGCAGAGAGAGAGAAGGGAGAGAGAGAATCCCAAGCAGGCCCTACACTCTCAGCACAGAGCCCGACACTAGGCTTGATCTCAGGACCTGTGAGATCATGACCTGAGCCAAATCCAGGAGTCAGATGCTTAACCACCTGAGCCACCCCAAGCAAGAGAATCTTTAAGAAAAATAATGCTAGATGATTTACATGACCAGCTATCGAACCTAATTATAAAACAACAGTAAGTCAAGGCTTTGTAAAATTGGCATAACGAAGGGCAGGGGAATCTGGGTGGCTCAGTGGGTTAAGCGTCTTTAATTTTAGGTCAGGTCATGATCCCAGGGTCATGGAATCGAGCCCTGCATTGGGTTCCATGCTCAGTGTGGAGCTTGCTTGAGAATTGTCTCTCTCCCCTTCTTTCCCTCTCAAAAAAAAAAAAAAAAAAAAAAGGAAGAAGAAGCACAAATAAACCAATGGGACAGGAGAGCCCAGTAATACATGCACATAGATACAATCTCCTGAATTATGATAAAGGCGGCACTGCTTTGCAGTGGGGAAGAGGGCTGTGTCAACTAGATATCCATCTGCGAGAAAAGTTAATCTTGACCCTTTGGTAGGCAGAATTACAACAGCCCCACAAAGATCTACCTCTCTAATCCCCAGAACCTGTGAATATGATGG